AATTTAAACATCCTAAGAATTTTGTAGTTGAAGTTTGTCTTTATTATCAGGAAATTTTTCGCCCATCACTTCTTTAATGGGTTATTGTTTATTTCATGACCTAAAAATCTAATTTGTTTGTGCTAGTTTTATTTTCTTTTGTGATAATAAATATTTCATTTGTTTTTATAATATTTTTAAATATTTAAATGTTTTTTTTATGTTGTTCTATTGATTCAAAAATATTAAGACATCATCAATATTAATGACAAATTTTATAAGTGGTTTAATATTATTCACATTTTTGAAATGGAAGGGCGCAGCCTGTTCATATTTGGAACGATGCCCGAATGGTACTATAAAAACAATTTTATATTTATCTTGTTCTTTTAACTTAATCATTAATATTCACTTTCATATCAAACTTAGAAATATAGTTGCATTATAAATTTACTTATTAGTTCGGTTTTATAGGCAGGGGATACCTAATCCATTTTAAGATCTATTTGTTTGTAATTTATTACTTATTCTCTCTTTCTTGGATTTGTACATAAAGGCAGCACAACTCCATGGAGATTTAATTAGTCTAATAAGTTTTTATCTAAAAAAGATTTTATTTTCTTTCTACAATATTTAATGTTTTCTTTATTTTGCTCAGTATTGGTTTAAATAGAATATTTTCAAAAAATCCTTTCTTCGTAAGGTACTTATTTCAAAAGTGTTTCTATCTCCAAAAAAGTAGGGACTTCTGCACATACTTCTTTTGTGATTTCTTGTTCTATCTTTTTTAGGTTGTTATTATCTCAAGATTTTTTAATTGTTCTTCAATCAGGCGCTGCTTGTTTTTAAAAATATTTTTATATGGCTATAGTTCCAATTTTATAGAAAGTTTCCTCATTTACTAGTAACTTATTTGTATTTTTATTTACTGGTTTACGAATTCGAATAAAATATTTTTACAGTCTAATTTCATTTTCGACACTTTCAAAGGGTATATTAACGTTATTTAGGACTATTTTCTACTATATCAGGTTATATAAAGCATTTTTAAAACAAGTTCCTTATTACATATATTTATCTTAGTTTTCGTGGTTCCCGTGCCTGTGGGCTTTGTGTGCGTTTTTTCATAGAATTTTACTAGGTATTAATCCTTCGTATAGCTCACAGAAACTCCATAGGTTTACTGAAAGCTGTCAATTGTTTGAAAACTGCCGACTTTTCCGTAGCCGTCATAGTCACTTTAGTTGAAAATTATTACCTTTTCAGAAGTTGCTATTCCCTCATTTATAGATAGATTTATTATTTATAATATTCATTTTTTCCTCTGTATTTTCATTTTTTATCTTTAATTTTTATTAATTGAATTTTTAATTTCTTTTTATTCATTCTTTTTAAAAGGCTTATTTCCTTGCAAGTCTCAAACTTGTCATGGTTTCTTCACTTATCAAGTTTCGTAATATTTTGACAAGTCATAACTGCATTACTTTTGTTGATACTGTTCTGTCATGTTTAGTATTAAGGTTTTTAATTCAGTCAAATAACTTCTTCATTTGTCAGTTGAAGTCTGAACCGATTTCTAAGGCCTGTATTTTAGTTTCGATAGTTAAAACATTAATATTAAATATGCAATCACAATTTTCTTCATTCTCATTTTCATCGGGATTAGTGGTTTTCATCTTCATACTGACTGGTTTCGATTAAATTATTTATGATCTTCTTCCGATTCATATAATAATATTTTTGCTATTTGGTTTTTATCTTCACTCATATCTAGGTTTCGTATCATTTTTCAGACTCTACAACTCTTCATATGTCCGTATCTTTCACATTTATAACAAACTATTCCTTTCTTTGAATTAGGTTGATTATTACTTATAGGAGGGTTTGTTTTATTTTTCTTTTAAAGTTTAGATCTTTTTGAGAGAATTGTTCTTCTATTATTATTTTTCTGAAGGAGGATCTAATTTTTCATACTCTTAGTATCTCCAATTGGAGTTGTCTTCTAATATTTTTTCTAAAAGGAGACCACTAACATTTTGCTAAGGCACGAACTCGCAAGATATAACATATGGAAAAATAATTTCAACTATTGAAAACACTGCCTTAGAAATATGTAATAATCTAAAGTTAGAAAAAACAGATTAAAAGACAACAAGAAAGTGGTACAAAAGAATTAGGAGATTTTTGCATGCAATATGGGTATGAAAAATTAGATCCTTCTTCTAGAAAAAATAAGAAAAAACAAATAATCAAAAGAAAATTTTCTCAGAATAATAATAGGAACATTCCTAGAAACTTTAAAAGAAAAATAAAAACAAACCCTCCTATAAGTAATAATCAACCTAATTCAAAGAAATGAATAGTTTGTTATAAATGTGGAAGATATGGACACATGAAAAAAGATTGTAGAGTCCGAGAAAGGATACAAAACCTAGATATGAATGAAGAGATAAAAACCAAATAGCAAAAATATTATTATACGAATCAGAAGAAGATATAAATAATCTAATTGAAACCGAGTAGTAGCGAAGATGAAAATACCACCAATCCCAGTGAAAATGAGAAGGAAGAAAATTGTGATTGCATATTTAATATTAATGTTTTAACTACAAAAACTAAAATAGCCTTAGAAATGGTAGATAAACTTCCAAATGAAGAAGATATGTTAGAATATTTAACTAAATTAAAAACATTAATACTAAATGAAAGAGAAGCAAAAGCTGTATCAATAGAAGTAAGTGGTTATGACTTCTCAAAA